CCCCTTGCAAAATCATGTCCTTTCTAGGTCTAGTGTCTTCTCCTCAGTTCGTATTTTTTCCAGTTTTTTGCACTCTCAGAAGCCGTAGACTCCGTCGTCGAGGTGATTGTAGTTATTACAAAACAACCTTACATTTCGTGAATAGTCACAATTCTTTACACGCCGAAAGTGTCGTCCAAAATCGCGTCATCCCACAGCGCCGCCACGTAAAATTAGGCGTCGTCGTCAATGTGTTAAACATGCTGTACAATTTATTTCTGCCAGTATTGAATGAAGACATCTGGCAAATTGCCAGATCGCGTGGCTACAATCGCGCGGGGTATGCCCACGGCCTAACCAAGTAACCGCGCAAGCCCCGCTGTGAAAGACGCATTTGGGAAAATCACTCCAGAAGGTAGAAACGGCCAATATGGCTCCGCTCATATGTGAGTGGTCTTACGATAGTACGTACAAAAAAGCTTCAGGGCAGATAGAGTTCAGGCAACCCACGTTGATGGGCGGAGCCACCTTGGCCGCTAATACCTCCTGGAGTGATTCTCACGCTTCGAAATTCACTTTTGCGGGTCTTGGGCGATTACTTGGTTAGGGGGTTCGCTATTATACACCATCAAATCTCACCACCCTCAATTTGATGGACGATGCCTCCAATCTATCAGAAATCCGTGTATATTTCAAATTCGATAATACTCTAATTGCTTTCCCAATTACCTGCTTTAAATGAAGATCTTTCTGTGGGAATTATGCATTTATTTCGAAAAGGTGAGTGATCAGTAATAAAGATATCCTTCTCATACACTGATGTTATAGCCCTAACATGAGAAACATCGTAAAAGTAGTCAAAGTTGAGCTGGTAATTTTGATGAGATGAGCGAAAGCGTTTGAACTGTTACTTTTTTGGTACGACTACATACGTAACGCATTTTTACAGCGGGTCAAGTATCCTGCGTACGTGCCAGTCACGAATGAACCAAAACCACTCACGTAGACCTGCGCGGCCGGCTGCACGTCAGGAGGTACACCGCGCACGGTGGCCGTCTTGCCGCGCACGCCGCGTTCAAACCTTAGGGCCCACAAAACTCCCCGCTGTTAAAGATTCCCGGCGGCAAAAACAGGCGGTTGGGAGTGGGGACAGATACATAACTCGATGACATAAGTAACATTGCTAGGAGCGCTGCTGTTGTATTGGCTGAAGTACGTTGCGGCGTCGCTTCTGAAACATTCGCGCCGATCGTATGATTGGCTCCCAGATTCGTGTGGAGGTGTGTTGTAGACTTTGCCTGATAACACGAATAAACTTCTCAGACCTCCATGTTATAGCATTGCTTTTCGTACTGTCTCGCTATCGAAAACCGCTACGCTATGAGTTGGCAAGACTCCACCTCTACACGAATCTGGAAGCCGATGATACCTCCTGACGTTCCCCCCGCGCGGCCGCCGCACCGAGCGTTACATCTGTCAGCGCACAGTTACACTTTTCCAAGCAACGACTGAAGGAATGGACAGCTTGCAGACAGCAAACAATTCTGGTCATTTCACGATGGTAACAGTTGCATCGCAGAGGGCCGCAAACGTCTGCAAAACGATCACAGACCATGTAAATTTTGGTTCATCTGGCAATTTCCCATGCGGTCATTGTTTCCGTAATCAGCAAATTCGCTGGCATTTTAGCAACACTCCACCTCCTAGCTTAGAATTAGCCGAAAAAGTCAATACGATTTTGATCGATAACGAAGCTTGATCTGAATGCTGATAAAAGCTGATCCCTAACAAAGACTGTCGGTTTATTGTGCGAAGGGGCTGCGAACAACGAGTTCGATCAAGTTTCCTTGGCGTCGCAATCTGCTCCGACGACCAAGCGCACCCCTAAGCGAGGCGATGCGCGAATCTTACAATTAGATTTGCACGGATATTAAAAGGTAGTAAAATTTTCTAAAATTTCTGTGGATTTGATGATGAAGGAGGAGGTTTTCGCTCTTTTACCGTTCCATGACTGATCAATGGCATTAGAAAAGGTAGAAGTATTGAGGCCGAAAAGGCCAAGGGGGTTCGGGCCGAAATTAAAGGGGAGCTTCGTTTCGAAAACTTCCTGGATTTAGCTCGTGCACTGCAGTGAGGCCAGAGCCGTTCGCACTTTCTCCTTCCTTCTTCCCCGCCCCTCCACTCCTTGGGCAAAAATTATGTATTCTGAAGCCGAGCGCACAGACTTCTTCCTTGAAACCTGCACTGAGTTCATCAATACAGCAAAAATCGTTGATGAACGAACATCAAAGTTTGACGGTGCTGTGATTTTTATTCGCATTCCGATACATCTGATACAATCTTATATATAAAGCTGAATGTCTGTTTGTATGTCTGTCTGTCTGTCTGTCTGTCTGTCTGTGTGTACGTATGTTCCGAATAGAAAATTCCATTTCTGAACCGATCCGGACCAAACTTGGCACACATACACTACGGGCCCCGGCGGGTGTCATAGGCTACTTTTCGTCATCGATCGACATCGATTTTATCGATTTTTATCGATTTTTTTGCTGAGTTCACCTACGGGGCTGGGAGTTGGCACAGGGGGGTAATCGAGCATGGGGATTCCGAATACAATATTGGTTTTCAGGATTATCGATTACTTTTATCGATTTTATCGATTTTTTTGCAAAGTTTGAGCTACGGGGCTGGGAGTTGGCACAGGGGGGTAATCGAGCATGGGGATTCCGAATACAATATTGGTTTTCGGGATTATCGATTACTTTTATCGATTTTATCGATTTTTTTGCAAAGTTTGAGCTAGGGGGCTGGGAGTTGGCACAGGGGGGTAATCGAGCATGCTGATCATCCCCAAGGGGGGTGATCAGCATGCTCGATTACACCCCTGTGCAAACTCCCAGCCCCGCAGGTCAAACTTTACAAAAAAAATCGATAAAATCGATAAAAGTAATGGACGATCCTGAAAACTAATTTTGTGTTCGTAATCAGCATGCTCGATTACCCCCCCCTGCGCAAAATCCCAGCCTCGCATGTCAAAATTTACAAAAAATCGATAAAATCAATAAAAGTAATCGATAATTCTAAAAACTAATATTGTATTCGGAATCCCATGCTCACTTCCCCCCCTGTGCCAACTCCTAGCCCTGTAGGTGAACTCTGCAAAAAAAATCGATAAAAATCGGTAAAATCGACATCGATCGATAACGAAAAGTGGACTGTGACACCCGCCGGGGCCCGAAGTGTATGTGTGCCAAGTTTGGTCCGGATACGGCGGAGCCGGGTAAGCCAGCTAGTTTTTTATATATTTCTTCTCATTCTGCAAAGTGCCATGACACTTGGGTAGATTTGTCGATAAAGTGCCCTTGCGGTGCCGAGAAAATGCGTCAAAATTTGCGTTTGTAGAAATGAAAAAAATTTTTTCTTCTGTGATGCCGAATGATTTATGAGCACAAAATGCCGGCATTGAAGGCATAGCTACAATACCGCTTACACAATGTGCGAAATTACCGTGAATGTCGCGGAATTCCCGAAATTCCGTGAGATATTACCGTGAATGTCGCGCAATTCCCGAAATTCCGCGAGATTCCGGGAATTTCGCGAAATCAACGCGAATTGGCCAGCTACGCAGTGCCATAAATTTCTTCGAAATGAACCTCTTCTGTAGATTATGGTGCGCTAAAAAGTACCCACAGACTTCTTTCCAAAAAAGGGTTGGTGAAATCTGAAAAAGTCATGTCGTCCAGATTTTACTCGCCATAACCCTAAAATATGAAGCTCTTTTGCTAAGTAGATGTGATTTTCGTAGCCAGCAGTTCAGATAACCTCCATGAGCAAATTTTCCAAGAAATTCGGGCTTTTTGATTTCCTCTCGTTTTACTTCTACTTCTCGTGGTATTTTCGAAGTACTCGTCGTTCCACCGTGAGTATCACCAGCTGATAACTCTGATTGCAAATGCTTTGTCACATCACCACTCATGGTGGAATTTCGACGAAGTATGCGATCTTTACATTTTAGACAAAATTTATGAGGACGTGTCCACGTAGACTCGTAACTCGGCGATTTCTATAGGATGGAGCATGAGACATGCACCACTCGATGACACAGTTTCTAGTAACTTCAACCTATAAAAGCAAGCAGTCAAGTTTTCTGAAAAATATGCGAGAAGTGCAAGCGAACTTACGTACTTTCGTGCCTCAGCAATAGTTCCCTCACCATATGCAAGAAGATCCTGCACTCCTCAAAGGCCACGATTTTCGTAAAGAGCGTGTCCGAAAACCTCTATAAGCGAAGTTTCCTTACAATCCTAGATCATCAACATTTTGACCAAAACCCACGAGTGAAGATCAAAAAGCCCGAACCTCTTGAAAAACTTGCTCATAGGGGTTATCTGACCTGCTAATTACAAAAATCTCAGCTTAGCAAGAGAGCCTCGTAGTATAGGGTTATGCTGAGTAAAATCTGGACGACATGACTTCTAGAGTTCAGCAGCCCTTCTATCTCTTTTGGAAAAAAGTCTGTGGATATTTTTTAGCGCACCGCTGAACATAATGCTTTAGAAGTCAGAATATATCCATTCAAAAAGAAGTTATGGCGCTGCGTAATTTGCGTGATTCGTTTTCGCGAAATTCGCGGTATGTCGCGGAATTCCAGGTCGCGGAAACTGCTCATTCTGTGAGCGTTATTGTATTTATTCACGTCCAAATTTTACATTTTCCTGGCACCGTTAAGTCGCTTTATCTACCGATAAATCTACTTGATGCACTTAGGATGTCCAATCTTAATATGTTTCTTCAATTTCCCATACACAGACGATAATTACTGCACCACATCCTATTTTCACAGAAATTTTCTATGATACAGCTGACTTTAGCCAGATATTTGCCGCATCTGCAAGCGAGGAAACATCTGACCTTTACATTTACGCGCGCGAGAGAATGTTTGGTGTTTTCTATTAATAAGATTTAGTGGTTGTTTCGTACCGCTTTACGAGCACTGCGCAGCTTTTGCCCTCGCGCCTAGAATGCAATTAGTGGTTTCTTTGATCTATGCCGATCAGGGCCGATTGCGCCCCGTCCAGATTTTCCGACTCTCAGTGTATCTTCCGGTATCGTCAGGTCTCTTCCTTTCTTCTCTTGTGATCGGTAATGCGTTGAACAATGAGAAAATCACCAGAGATATCGATAGGTAATGGGCTCACATGTTCTTATGCCCTTCTTCAATGTTTCCACCTATATCCTTCTCTTAGAATACCAACGCTAATTTTTTTTGCTCTTTTCTTGAGAAAATGCAACGATCATACAAAGCTGATCCAAGAAATCTTGTATCTAATCGAAAAAATGATGACAACTTTACCCAGACTTCTCTAGTTTGAGAATGCATATGGATCGATTGCTTTTCAGAGAGAAATGTAGCCGTCCTTATCATATTTATCCGTTTCATCCGCTTCACAGCTTCAGCGTAAAAGCTAAGTTACCTTCATTTCATTTTTGAAATGTCTATTTCCATTGTATCGAACTGATGATCAAAAATTAAAAAATAAAAATAACTAGTGGAGGAGAAAGGGTACAGAGGTGCTTTGTTGGTCAGCTATCGTCGTTTGTAACTGAATATGTGTATTGCACGCCACGCATGTTGCCTGATTACTTTCAAGATAACCGCTTATTTCTAGTAATTTCTCATAATTTCCGTGTCTCTTTTGATTTGACTATGTATTCATAAGTTGTACACACTGACATAGTCTGTTGTGTTAGAAGGGTCTGACCGAGAAGTTATTATAAAGGTGTCGTCGGTTGCAGCACATGGTATGCAAAGTCACATATTTAGCTAAATAACTCAAGAGTACGCATATGCTATCGTTCTGTAAGAAGAGATCTTGCCTCTAGACTTTAATCACTAGTAAATCGTATGTTTTACCTATTTCCTACATGCTCGAGAGTTCACACTCTATAAGTACATCATCCAGTCTCAACTTGAAATTTGCTTGAGTATATTTGGTATGAAAATTCACCATCCAGATTTTTAATGCATCTGGCAATGAAATGATACGCAGAAGCAATTGAAGGGCAAGTTTTTTTTCTCGAGTAAGGAGTTGTTTATTCCAAGGTTAATGCGAAAATATGAGCCATGATGGCATATTACGTTACTGCACTTTGCGAAATATTGAGGCATTGGAAAGCCCCACAATATCTCAGAAGGCTTTTGTTCAGCGGATTTCCAAGCGCTAACCAGGGTAAAGCGGGGGGTGCGGCACGCGAACGTCGGATACGACCCCCCCCCCCCTTGGGCCATACCCTCTGCACGACCCCCCCCCCATTCCCTCCCCCCCCCCTCCCTCCCTCGCTAGCTTGAACTGACTTTCAGTTTCAGTTTATATTTTTATTTCATTAACAATATTATTAACAACAATTTATCAACAATGATCTTTAGAGATCGGATGAGTTTAGGAGATCTTGTGTTCGATGTAACGATGGCTTGCTAGGCTTAGACTTGAGATGTACCTCATCCTGATCAGCCATGATTGACGCAGAAAGGTTACCTAAATTGAATCCGATAGATTCACGAAAAACGTCCACACAGTCATAAAATCAAGATGTTTTCAATGATATGAGGTCAAATGTGCCACAAACATCGAATTCCAACACAAGCCAGTGGGTAGACCAAAAATGTGCCTAGGTTTTGCTGTGATTTAACCGCCGGAGAGAACTTACAATCTTGGACTACTTATCAAATTATATTTGTATGAGATGCTGCTTCAAAACAAGAAACCGGCTAATTTGCGTACATTTTAATCCTGATGCCTACACTACACAGGGTAAAGCTGATTTTGGAAGACCTGTCGGATAAACTCTCAAAAATCTTGCAAAATTGGTTACGAAAATATCTATTTTTGAAACGCCAAAACTCTGGTAGACATGCGTTGATAGAGAATTGAAGTAACAAACGATTCACTCAGTGAATTAAACAAAAGAAGAAACATAGTAGACAGAATGGTAGATATGAGCACTGGCTTACCTTCATGTGCGACAAAAGGCCTTCGCAAGTCTCATCGCTTTCATTACATAAAAGACAAACCACACGAGTTTCATCTACGTCCATATTATCCTCCTGCCACTCGCACCATGAGTTGCTACAAAAAGAAGGCAATGCAACAATGCAAATATCGATACTCGTAGTTCACTTCAAGCTCCATCAAGAAAAACATAAGATAGTTGAACGTACTCCTCGAAACGTCGGCATTGTTTCCTCAAAGTCTTCTGCCAAAACGTCAAGCCAGCGTTTCCCAAGTTCGAGGTAGTTGATGATATAGAACTTGTCATAGTAGTGGTTCTTAGGATTCACCTGAACGCAACGAATGCAACGTCGAATTTGTTCAAAAGTGCGATAAAAATGTTATGGTAGGGAAGACTAGAGGAAATGATAAAAGAAAGCTTACCTCTCTATGATTTCTTTTACATGTGATCCATGAGAACATTGCGATCTCCGAAGGTTTTTTCACAATATATACATTCATTTCTCTACAACAAAATTTGATAAGCAGAAACTCATTGATCATGAAAGCAGCGCCAAATGTGGCCACAAATCCTTATAACCCTGACTCACCGTCAACTTGTCTTTCAGATGCTCGATGTATTCCGTTACAAAGACAAGATTGTCGGGCGATCCCAGGTTCGAATCATGGTAAAGATGATGGATGACCAGACGCTGACGAAGAGAGTAATCTTCGGGTAGCAGCTCAGACATGTTGTAATAGTAGTCAATTTCCCCTAAAAAATGAATATTGTTTCATGCCTATCTACCTAAAGATGATAAAATCGCACCAAAGTATTTATCTTTTCAAAAAACAAGATCAGCGAAACTAGTGGATGAAGCGAATAAAGTTTCACGTAAACGATGGTTTCGGTGAATTCGCAAACGAGTGTCGACAGCCACACAAATAAAAATAACAATAACAACAATAAATATAAACGTCTAAATACGAAAATTACTTTTTTTAACTGGGGATATCAGATAGTGGAATAGGCTAGCCAAAATCGTTCGCGACCACCTGAATATGGCATTAACAATAAAAATCTAAAAAAAAAATCTGGCTGAAGTTTTCTGAAAAAACAATGAGAGAAACAAGTGATGAAAAAGAACAAAAAAAGCGAGAACATCACAGCTCATAACGAGAGTGGGATTCAAAGGCGCGTATCTCGCGCCTCTGTGTGTTTTGACAATCTTTCGAGCGCTACCGTAACCCAATATTTTTTGGCCACACTTCCCAGCATATGGTTCGCAAAAACCATATGTATTTCCTTCTAAAGAAATAAGGTTCGAAGGGAAACAGCTACTACGGAGAGAGGAAGGATGAATCTATAGGATGATATGAAAAAGGCAGCTTTTTGAACGATTTGAAGGTAAGTTAATGGCCTGCGGCACCCCCTCTCAAAACCTGCGGCAGCCGCAGGTTTTGAGGGGGGGTGCCGCAGGCCATTAACTATATCAAAAAAACATTTTTAGCGGACAATATTTATATGAATCAATAGCCTAAACCTCATAGATTCCATAGGGATGTTTTGAGCCTGATTCGTCTTCTTAGCTCTGAGTAATAATTGGTGAAAGCACAGCGATCAAAAGCTAAAAGCGATTTTGGTTGGCTTCTAATTCAATAGTTTGGAGGTCTTCTGAAGCGGGATTCCTGAGGTGGACAAAGAAGGAGTAGTGCTTTGAATTGAGTGCAAGAAGAGGTAGCTTACTCACCGTTAAGATGAAGTTAATCATGTTTTAAATTACTGCTTTATACAAGGTTGTTTACTGCTCGGAGACCTCAGAGTTCGCTGAAACTTGGCGCATAGGGGTTATTCGACACGCGGATTACGACAATTATGCTTGATTAGAGGTACGGTAGGTTACGGTAGGCATACGGTATCTGCAAGTTTGTTCGTTGAACTTGAATTTTGCAGGATTTCAACAGCGTGGCACATCTAAGAACTTAGCTGCAGTCATTTCCCCTTAGAAACCGCTTTTGACCTTGGGTCGATACGACCCCCCCCCTACCTACCCCCCCCCCCTTACGACCCCCCCTGCGGCGTGCCGCACCCCCCGCTTTACCCTGGCGCTAACCTTCACACCTGCTGAATGCAGAGTCCTTTGCACGTTCTAATGTTTCGCAGTAGAATTTACCTCAAGAAATCTCTTGTTATAGTCGTCCTCCCCTCATTAGACACTTGGGGCCGCATGCACTAACATTCCCGCTGGGGAGAGGATTGCAGCTTCATATTCTGAAGCTCCAGATATCTGGATTTTACGCTGTCTACCTGTCCATGAGTATTCCTACTATCCTTCACTATGAACATGTTGAAGAGGAGCGAGAAGCTGTACAAACCGCATTTTTCATTTATTTATTACACGGGACGGATCCCATGTCAGACATAACGATCAAATGAACCATAAAAACACGAACAAAAACACAAAACACAAAAGAATGCATGTGCAAAAGCGTAAAGAAAAGAAAGCTACCTAACCTGTGCGTTAGTAACAACTTCCACTGTCGGACTGCAGATAATCTTTTAAAATGCGTTTCAAAGATAGCTTAGCAGGAAAAGATCGAACTCTTGTGAGCCTATCCATATCATGAATAACGCGACATGTAAAGAAACCTCGCCTGACCCTAAGTCTTGCCCTGGGGATTATTAGTTTCCTAGAACCACCTCTAGTATTGGATCGTCTGGTAGGAAAGAAATCCTTGAACTCTAGGCCACAACTCCCAAACAAGATTTTATGGGCCATTAAAAGGTCACTTCTGCGCCTCCTATGGGCAAGAGATTTTCCAGCTTTTGTATGATCCCTGATGATCCCCGGCGCTTTCAAGTCATTTTTCTTTCTCCGAAGTTAACGAAAACCTTCCAAAGTTGTACTGAACATCCAACACAACAGTGCTAAGCATGTTGCTGATGAGAACAAATGAATTTTTAAAAAATCGAATTTTTCGGTAAACCCCAAATTTCGACCTGTGGATCATCGAAAACTTCATGAATTCAAAACATCATTTGTTCTTATCAGCAACATGCACTGTTGGGTTAGATGATCTGCACAACTTTGGAAGTTATTCGTTAACTTCGGAGAAAAAAAATGACTTTAAAGAAAAGCGCCGGGGATCATCAGGGATCATACAAAAGCTGGGAAATGCGGTTCGTACAGCTTCTCGCTCCTGTTCAACATGTTCATAGTGAAGGATAGTAGGAATACTTACGGATAGGTACACAATGTGAAATCCAGGTATCTGAAGTTTCGAAATATTAAGCTTTCTTTTAAAGGCACCGTCCACCCAAAGTAAGGGTTCATGAGATTCAATGGCATACTAATGTGGGCCCCCACACTAAGCCAACCCCCAAGTTTCCCCGCAAAAGATTGCTTCCGGAGCGAGAAATCCGCTCTGGAAGTTACGTGATACGTGATCCAGAGGTGGTCACTCCGCCCATTTTGCAGCTTTGGGGGCTGCGGCGCTGATATACGCCGGGCGATAACCGCGCCGCAGCCCTGCAAACTGCACCACCCGTCCCGCTTTCTCCAAAATAGGGGTTTTTGGGATTCTCGACTTCATATTCGAAATCAGGGCCTTCAGTAGGCCCGGAAGCGACAAAAACATGGAAGTCGAGAATTTGGGTGGACGGTGCCTTTAAGCTGCGATCCCCTCCCCGCGGCAATGTCAGTGCATGCGGCTTTAGTGGACGCATTCGAATTTGAATTGGAGCACGTCGGTTGTGGCAGAGCGCGGCACCTGCAGCTCTCACTGCAATCTCAAACATTTTTTTTTGTTTTCGCGACGTTTCAACCTAATTTTTGAATGCTGACGGTTTTCTCGATTCGTAATGAAATTGTTGCTTTCATTTGAGCGATGGGTCGTGCTGCTATGTTCGTTTCTTTGACTACGATTCCAAGTAGAGCTTGGAGAAACGACTAAGTGTGAAAATTGGCGAAATATCTCTCGGTAGGTCTTAAGTGTTGTTTCATTGAACACTTCATGTCAAAAATTTTCCATGTGCATCGTTTTTCCAACCTTTCTTGAAAGCAGAATAAAGAAACGAGCATAGCAATAAAAAACATCGCTAATCATCAAAACACTCTTCAATTCTGATTGCAATTATCATCAAAACAAAAAAAATCACAATGCAACGACAATAGAATATAAAAAATACTGCATTAGCTTGAAATGCATTTGACGGTGCCGCGCTCTGCCGCAGCCGAGGTGCTCTAGTTCAAATTCGAGTACGTCTACTAGGTGTCTAGTGGGGGGAGGACGACTGTATTCCAGGTACAAATTTCAAGAAAACTTCATTTTTGCACCTTCTAAGGCTTGAGATATACTTGACGATGGGTCGCTATAGCTGACGATAAGACGCTGCCAGCAGCAACGCCTTTTATGCGTATCGATTGACGCCATACAACGCTGCTGCTTCTGGCTGCTGCAGCGAACGCGATACAGACCCGCTATAGCTGGCGATGCTGCGCTGCTCTGCGCTGCTGCTTGCTGCTCGGCTGCTCCTCGCTGCTACGCGATATGAAGCTCACTTTTGGTGAGCTTCTCTCAGCTGCTTCACGCTGCTAGCGCTGATTTTGCTCGGATTTGCCCGTTTTTAACATCCTTTTGAACTTCTGAAGGATTTTTAGAGCGCTTGTTGCGTTGCTGAACTGTGACAAATTTGCAAGACCAAAACGCAAATGCTTCGATAGGAAAATTAACAGAGAATTGACGAAGTGAACGAACAAATAAATACGAAAACCGCACAAAACTTGCGAAGAATCAAATTGGTTTAACAAAAAATTAGAAAATTTACGATTTAGTGGGATGTTACCAGTACACCTCAATACATTAATGGCAGCTATGACCTAGGTCGTTCGGTTTTTGCCTCAAGCACAAATCAAGATTCTATTGCGACACCGCTTCAATAATGGTAATGATTATTTTCTCAGTACTAGTGCAACATTTGGTTTGCAACTGTATGCTTCTTAAAAAGATTTGTTGATGAGAACAGGATGATTTTTTTGGGACATGTAATCATATTCTTCAGTTTTTGATAATTCTCAAAACTTACTTTCCTAATGGGCTAAGCTAAGCGTAGTAATGGGTAAAGCTACTCGTTCTTGCACCCAAAGCGTACCCAGCGCAGCAGCCACGAGCAGCTAAAGGCAGCGCAGACATCAGCGATTCGCCAACACCCGCTATACCTCTATCGTCAGGTATATCTCAAGCCTAAAGGCCCCCTATCTGGTCAGTTCTTATCAATTACCACTTGTCAAATGCTGCAATAGCCGGTAAACGCTTTCGCTTTCCTATCACCGGCGGCCGCCTTCTTTGATGGTTAGTTGTTTTATGAGTATACGAACTAACAGCAAAGGATTCTTGATAAGCGATCGCTGCCCTTGCTGTAGTACTTCATCTCCCTGCACGAATTTGTAGAAAAGCAATTTTGGTGGGTCCCGTAATTCACGTGGACATTATATTTAGGGAAAGCCGGAATTTTTTTCGCCTATTCGATATCGAATAATATCGAAAATCGAAATTTTCGAATATTCGAATTTTCGAACCATTCGCATTCAAATGATTTATTCGAATAATCGAATAATCATTCGATTCGGTCCGAAATATAGTGAACACGGTTTCAACAAGGAAGTTGTAGACTACTTTGCAATCGCTAAATCCTATCCCAGTCTTTTATGTTCTAGGATGTGTGTATCCTGCTCTTTTCTAAGATTATATGAGAAAAGTCTAACTTAACGTACACCGCAAGTGAATTCACTATATATGAATTCCAACATCAGCAAAGACCATAGCAAATCTATGATGTTTTTTTTGAGTATTATTCGTTCTCAAGAGCATTTTCGAGGAGGGTAGTCGATGCTTGTGCTTGGCCCACTTTTTCTAATGCGTGCGCTATAGGGCCTTTTTCTACGCGTAATTGTTGTTGACTGTGCAAGTACGCTGTATCACCGTCTTTGATTGTCTGTATAACTTTGCAGAGTGTCGCTGAGTCTAAATAAGTCATGCACGACCTGCAAAATAATCTTTTGCATATATTTCTTGTCTATCGCGATTATCTAATCAGAACTGACATAAGATATAATCGTAACTGAACTAATCCCATCACTTCCCCTTCTTTTTTTGGGCTTACATAGTGCTCTGGTATATCCACAATGTGGATTCCACATTTAAGGCATAAGCTTTGTTTTATGTCTTTTACAGGCGACTCCCCAATAATTTACGAGAACTTTTGATCCGTCTTCTCCCTTTCCTATCCTTCTTTTCACATTAGCTCTTTATATGCCTTCAGGTTCTTTCGCAAATCGCATTCAACCTAATGTGATTTCATCTCTTTTTATTGTATCTGAGGATAGTTTGTTCATCGTGTAAGGTCAGGCTCGGGTACAATTCTTTCAACTGTTCGGAATGAGTTTTTTCCGGGCATGAAAAAATTGTTTTGAATGTCTTTGCAAAAGTATTGTTTTTCTTCGTCCCTCAATTGGAAATTAGTTTTATTCTATTCAAAATTGTGTAGAAAAGAATTTGGCTTTTGTTGATCTATTGATATTTATTAATTTTTCCATTATCTGTTCCTTCAGAGCAATATGGCAGTGTGTTTTTATGAGCTCAGTGGATGTTATCAAGCAGTATACAATCTTCCATGAGCGCTCACCTTTGACCCCCATCATCTGATATTTGATCGTAAACTCTGGTTAATCATATACTTTAGCTAAGACGCGAGACTGTAAATTACATGCGATCTTGACTAGCGATCACAAGCAAGTAGCTGTAACAAAAACGATTTTTGGATGGATATACAAACATCTGACCGATAACTTGATGATAGAGGTCTTGATTCTTTGAGCGTAGCAAGTGGTGGAATCTAAATTGGTCAGCTCCAATTGTCTCCAAAAAGAACAAGATCTTCCAGATCTCACCCTTTGTACAGCCACAAACTGTGTTTTTGATTTATGCACTTATTGCCATTCATCTCAATCTAAAGTGTTATTTCAATTCAAAGGGTTTCTCTCCAGGAAGAAAAATTATTCTTTTGTCGAGGTTGTAGAGGGTGGAACAGCTGGTTTGAACCTAAGCACACACTGGCAAAGAAACAAAAAGTGATAACAACAAAAACAACTAAAAACAACAACAAAAAACAATGAACAAAATAAGCACAAACACATACAAACTATATCTTCGCTAGTAATCTCGTTCTATCTCTATATATTCCACTGTATATGGGACTTTTTCAATGTATTTTTACACAATATAACTGAGTTTCTTTCAAAAAATTCCCGCAAACCCAAAACAAACTGGATTTAGCAGATGAACATTTGATGTGTAGATCGTAGATCAGCATTGATGAATCTTCCGAATCTATAAAAAGTAGCGCTTGATCGGGTTTTTTACCTAGTGGGAAATAAAAAGAGGGTGAAAAATCGTTGCAAAATCAAATAAAGCTGAAAGTGAAGAAATTGTAAAAGATGATGTGTACACAAACTGAAAAAAATCACATAGTGGGCTAACTGAATTGACTGTATTGAGCTCTAACTGAACTGAATGTATGTACCGTGAATGGCATCAGTGATAGAAAACTCTCAATGTTTGATCACTGCAAGCAGTCGACTGTTTTTGCCGCTCTCCACAACCTGCAGATCGTGGAATTTCTTACTAAAGATTGACATGCGTGATATGTATTTTATTATGCATGTTTGGAGGCATTTTTGAGTGAGTCGTCACGTCCACGCTGACACAATCCGTGCATTTTGCATCACTGCTTTCGCGTTTGAAAATCGCTGTTCTTCGCTAAAAATACTTGCTATATATGTATATACATAACTCAAAGATTGTGAGCAAGTTTTCCATGAAATATGTGTCGAATAGAAATCTTTGTGAAGAACGAAGAAACGCCAAACTTCCCACACATAAGTTTTCAACCTCTGTGTACACGATAGGCTACCCTTTGCGGCGATTCGCCAAGCCCTTCTATCGATTTATCGATTTTTAGCACTTTGCCATGAAAAGAGCGCTTATCAACCGATAAAAAGTCATTTCTATAACGCCAAATATTTCCTGAATTTTAGAATTCTTTATTCTGATGTTTCCAAAGAGCGCTGGTAACTGTTACGTAGAGCAGGCCTTTGGCTACATTGTACCCATTTTATATTACGTGGGTCACGTTTACCAAGTCCGTGATAATTATTTATTTGATAAAAACCGCGGCTTTTTGATTAAGTTTAACACGTAAAAGTACCAAAAATTCCAAAAAACTGCTTTTCGAAGCGAATTAAAGTTGGTTATGTTGCATAAATAATGTTTAGTAAGAATCATGTTCCAATACGCAAAAATTCAAAAGCTTTCGTGTATTTGATGCAGTTGCATGTTTCATGACTTTGCCAAAAATCGAGACCTCCGGAGAAATAGATTTTTGAAGCTAAAAACAGCAGATTAGGAGAATCTAAAAATACTACCTTGTAGTCCGAGAACTGCTCTATATGATCCATACCTAACCCTTTTCGAAAATTTGGAATGAAATTTTTGAAAATTAGCCTAATTTTGAGTAGGTAAAATTGAAGGGTGAGAATTTTGACAATTATCAAAAAAAGCATGCAAGATTGTGGCTCGAAAATGTATCCATAAGAAAGAGAAGGAAATGTTGCATCGAATGCATTTTGAAACACACTCAGATCTTTGATGTGCGTGGTTTTACAGTGGTTTGAAAAAACCGACAAAACTTTCGGGACAACCTAATATTTATCAAATACACTGAATAATATTACATGTTTGATATAGCCTCGAACTTCCTTTGAAATTCCGGTTTCAGCATCTGAAGCGACGCTGGATAAGAGGGCGGGGCTTGCGTGTCTTGGTATCCTGAGGAGCTCGTAATGAGAGCTACCGAATTTCCCTAGCAAGCACTACTCAGATGCGAGAATATGGCTCGGCTGAGAAATTCCAGCGCCCATAGTAGCCTGGACTTTTGCAATGTCAAAAAATTCGCGCGCGCATTGATAGAGTCAACTGTCAAGAGCCGTATCATACTTTGATCTCACATTACGTCAACCACTCTCTCATTCCTCTGGGGTCACTTGATTGGTGCCAGAGCTGCTAGAGAGGGGAGCGCTCACTGAGAGCCGGCTGACCCCGCAAGTCACTATGATGGGCGAGCATGCGATCAAGTGCGTCCATGATGCACACGAACGATTTGGATTCACCATCAGATTTTGTAGTAAGACGAAGGTCCAAAACTTCCATGTCTTCTTACAAAAATTCATGTTGCCTTTTCGTCAGGTATTGGGTTTTATACAGAGTTCGTACAGTTTTGAACATTCATATTTGTAACTGAAAGTCACCGTCCACCCAAGTTGAGGTTGCTGAAATTTTAATGCTGTATGTATGATAGCGGAGCTCCTAACTAACTAATCGCCCAAGTCACGTTGAAGATATCAAGTCCAAAATTGAGCTCTAATGTATTTAGGATTGTCATAAATCCGCACCTCGTTATGATTATTAGACATTCGACATTCCTGTCTACCGTGAAACCAATTTTGGACTTGTTTTCTTCAAACCACCCATGTTGATGTGTGGGGCCACCCTGTCCGCTTCTACTTTCCGCAGCAGTTTTCTCGCTTTGTCATCTTTTGCAGCGGGACTTGAGCGATTTTGGTTAGGGCCCCGCTGTCATACAACGTCAAAATGTCAGCGACCTGTTTGGGTAGGGGTGCTTCTAACTTCCAAACCTGTTTGCGAGGCTCAACCTAATTTTACATTATCTGTCTGTTGATTCCAACATTCCGATACTCACAGTTCATCACTTTTTTTTTCAGGTATATATGCAATTGTGAAGACAGCCCATATGCAATCATTTAAACACTATAGTAGGCGGTGCATAATTATTTGATTCCCTTCCGAAAGATCCACATTTTGACGACATACAGACTCCATTTCCCTTTTATTCACGCAACTCTTCCGCTCGTTTCTCACTAATCCCCCTCATTGAGAACACTTCGTGCGCTCGCATTCGTCCCTCTTTCGCTCGCAAACCGCAGATGCGAACCTCCTCAGTCGCGTTTCCTTAGATGGGCGGGGCGCAGCAGCCTTGCGCGCGTCCGGCCGTCCCCGCCTCAGCCGCTACGTCGGTCTGGGCCTTTTGGAAGAACTGCAAGGTTGCTCTCACAAGTGCTGTATCTTCGCTTATAAATCTTCTTCTGACCGTAGATTTGCTATAGTTATTTCGCGACTTCCGCTGTGATGCTATCTCATGAGACCATTGCTTTACAGGATTCGTGTGATTAATCTCCAAGTCGATCGACACCGTCTTTTCACATAGGCAATGTTTTTCTGCTGAACTATTCAACTGCTCAAGCTGTTATTCCTATGACTGTGAGGTTTTTGAGGCTTTTCAGCCTCTTGTCCTCAATATTCGCTCTTTCTTTCGCATCTCAAGGTAAGATCTACTATGCACGTTTTTGCATGTCCTCTTCGTTCTTTTTGGTGAGAGGTCACTCAATCAATATGCTCATGCTAGTGTTAGTGCTAATTACGCAATATACTCGTTATTTACTTAGTAGCTGTTACTGTATCTCATCCTTCCATCCTTGATATTCAATGATTGGCATCTTTCAACAAGTGAAGGCTGTTTGGTAGTCCTTCTTAGGATAATCACGGCTATTTTATGGGTTGATTGTAAGGGTCCAAGGCAATTTACTTGGCGCCAGTCTCAGCCACTCTCTAACTATCGTGTTCTATATCCACTCGCACTAATCAACTTTCCTCGAAATTGGCGCTCATAGTGTTTTTGCAGTCGTATTAGTGATACTTGATTGATGTTCATTCTGAATGAAGTGGATAGGTTGTGCGAATGCTGCGATTTTGATTGGCGATATTCGATAGGCCACAACTGTCGCTCTCACCTCAAGTGTAGGTGTAAAATAGAATGGATGGCGCTGGCAACACCACACAAACGAACACCCTGCATCCATTCGGAGCTAACTTTCTCTGTAGTGCAGAAGTGCAGATTGTTTGAAAAATTAAGGAAATAGAAGCTAATCGAAGCTCCCTTCCTCTAGTGCATGCTAACCATTAAAAATGCGGTTGGAACCGGTTCGTGTCTGGAAAACCAAGCAAAAATTCAAAAAGCGTTTTTAGGCTAACCAGTCCTGCTACGTAAAACTGTAGTGATACTTGAAACTCAACACTGCTCTATTTTTGTAACTGAGGAAAGCTTTGTTGCAATTCGCTCGCATTGCGGATTTGCAAGCATTTATGCGACACTTTGGAAGCGCAAAAATCCCTTGAGAATTATGTTGTACTTCGCGATTTCGATGATGTATCGTCAATGAGTCTGTGGATGATGGATGGGCGAACAACCAAAAACGTCGAGCAAGATTTTAGTACATGCATGGGAAAGTATATTGGTGCTTGGAGACCTCTGCTGGGCAGTGTGTGCTTCAGAACAAAAGAATACACGCATTAGTGCGCGACCCCTGTCATGGCAAACCTAGTTATTAGCCATACTCGTCCTTTGGGATGTGCCATCGCTCTGCATCAGTGCACAGACATGCGTGTCGATTATTGTCAAAATTAGTGAGATGAGGGTGGAATTATTGAATTAGCTTGTGTTTCTTCGCATTTTGGCATAACTGGTATGTATGGAGTTCGAATCGGGAGTTCTGTCTGCTATAATTTGCAATTTCTTCCTTACAGCCTTGCCAAGTAGTTTCTCTAGTTGATATTTATCTATTTGTCTCCAAATCAACGAAAGCACCCAGAACACAATCAGCAACAAAGACAATGAAGCACCCAGTCAGTTCATTTCAACCCTGAAGTTTTTCTAGGAATAGAAGGGGAATGAGCTTGTTAGAACACTTGCGAATTCTTATTATTGGTGTAGAGCCTCACTGGAGTCCGTCTTATGCCCCTTGCTCACGGCATAAATGCTAGCTTACAATATTGAGAAAATGATATGCTAGTATCTACAAAATTCATATTTTTCTACATCATCGTCGTCATCATTATCTACATCCGATACTTATCAAACACGTAGAGATTTACCTCTTCTCAAATGATACTCGTCCGTGTGTCCCAGCAGAAGTGAGCTAGTGAAGCGAAGGTTATGAAGTTGGGAGTGAGCATTGTCGATTGGAGAATATACGGGTGCTAGTACATTTTTGTATCGAATCCACTACCTTTTTGGGGGTTTAGACGTCCTATTCATTGATAATCGCTACTGTCTCATAGTTTTAAATGACGTAGTTTTTTTGTTTATTGTCAGTTGACAATAGAAAACTATGAACTTACATGAAGTTTTTTGTTGGTAGAATTTGAAAAGGCGCCATTGAATGAAAATTGATCGTCATTGTCTATCTCTTTTTTATGCTTTATCTCCTTTTTTCTCATATCATTTAACCGTAATTTGATCTCATGTCGAGATTTAAACAAAACCACTAGTATGTCCGACTGCAGCTGTCATCCGCTCATTTCATGGTCTACCCCCATTATCCATCATGTGTGAAGTTCATTTGGAAGCTTTCGGCGTTCTCACATTCGAAATGTTGGCAGCTGAAATGATTGCTTCGAGCATTAGCAGTAGTGGTCCGAGACAGGCCGAGCCTATTTGACGAAGACTTCATTCTCTGGCAGAATGAATGGTTGGCATTTGTGGAGAGTGCTTTACCACTCGAGGACCTCCGTCCCTTTTTGTGACGCAGGGAACGAGGAGGTGCGAACCTATTAGGCCATTTGATATTGTCTCGTTTCCTGCGAAGTGATCGTATTAAGATAAGTGTCGGCGCATTTTTATGCTGTCGGTAGAGTGTTTGAAAGTCGGTTACATTATAGTAATTGTAATATACGGAAGTATTGTCATGCTGGTTTGCGGTATTTTGAGGAGGCCAAATGTCAACACTTTTTTTCCTTTCGAGTATGTTTCTGGGCCTATTACCGTTATTTTAGTGGTGCTCATGGATACGAGATCTGCCACGACGGATTTGAAATGGGATCAGCTCTCTCTGCGAGGGGACACAGACGGCGTAAGTTCTCGTATATGTTATTGAATACTTGAATGATAGCAATATCCAACTTTCATATGCCAGTTTTCTGCCATTAGCATGCTCACTTATCCCTTGTACCAACTCTAATCGATCTAGCTCAAAGTTTGAAAACCGATCAAAAATCGATAAAGGCGGTTGATAGTTGTGATGAATATCGTATTATGATCAGCAGGCTACACCTTATACTAACTCCCAGCTTCTATGATCAAGGTTTGCAAGAAGTTGATATCGATCGACAAAAGTAGCCTACGACACGCGCCGCGCCCCAAAGTGTATGGTGCAAAGTCTGATCCACATCGGTTCAGAAATGGGATCGGTAAACAAATTCCAAAAAGAATCATGCATATGGAAGCACTTGAGTGGAAGGCGAAATGCGCATCTTGATGCTCACATTTTGATTCCTAAGATGAATTTTTTCGATTGTTAGCTGCTGTTTCCGGTCTCAAATGGCTAGGTTCGAGTTCTCGTGCCTACATCTGGCATATAATACCCACTACGATGCTCAGTTTATCGTTATAAAGTGTGTTGCGGTCAAGATGCTCATTGAGTGGGAAACCAAGCATGACGGTCAGATTTCACGGCTCTGTTGACCGCGTGCAACCATCGCTGGCTGTTTGTTAGGTCCAAGTTCATGGCAAAGCTTGATGTCGAAGGTAAATCTGCACTCGCCAACAGCCTGGGATCTGAGATCTAATCTCAAATTGTTGGGGAATCACAAGAGGTTGGGATAGCTAAAAATAACTGTTTGATTTCTCCAAAAATTCGTTTTGGAATGTTTTTCTTTGTATTGAGTCTTTAGTAGGTTTGATAATGTCGATTCCGGAAAAGTTGCATAGAAGTTTAAAGCTGTAAGTAAAAGTAAAAGTTTAAGGTTGCATTCTAGCTCTTGGCAAAAATTGCAGACAAGAAATATATAAGCCTTTGCAACGATTCTTTTGTTCCGTTTTATCGTAAGCGAATTGCTTTTGCGTTGGTAACGTTCATCTGAAAACAGGCTCGATTTTTCGCCTTATCGACTCAGACTGCTTTCGCACCTCTAATCTCAAACGATCACGAGCATCATTTTGTGTACTTTATTCGAGGCTTGGACCTCTTTTCCCTCACATACCAATCCAAAGAGCACACACGACTAGGACATCTACAGCTCCAAATTTCATTTGAAGAGTTGCTTAGCGACTGCTTTGTTCAGTTTGGGTCTGACTAATAGTAGACGTTAAAATTCAATTAGAGTGACGATGAGTGGCGTAGGAGTACGCAATTGGAAGAAAGTATTGCCAAAATTGAAATCGCATGTCCATAGCATCAGCCAGTATGAAGGTTACTCGAATATATCACTTTCCAATCAATCCAGTCATCACTTGATCGGTCATCCAACCGTTGATTATAAATTTTTTTCGCGAATTTGCGAGTGACTCTGCTGAATTTTTCTGGTGAATTCGGAGCCGAAATGTAGACCCCTGGGTGGATTAATTGTATTCGCACCGAAAATACTGTTTGTCAGCAAATGATAGGAATGCAATTACCACAATTCAATGCTCAAATTGAGCTGAAGTCTTTGGCTGTTCATCTTAAGTCTCTCAAATTGCTGCAATGCGCGAAAAAGGAGACGAGCATGTGTAGTGTGGTCGAGGACGGCAGATTGGAAAGCGAGATAAGCGATGAACGTGCGCATTGCTGCGTAAGTGGACATGGGAACCAGCGCAGGAATAAAAACGTCGTCCATCCTGTGCCGCTTTTTTCGCGTAGACGTGAAGGGAGGCTGCCGCTTAGGATCACTGGAGTTGTGAAATGTTGTCTAACCGCCCTCATTGTCGATACATGTGGTGCTCATAATCAACACTGCTTTTATTAACTGATTAAGTGCAATATTGTTCAAATGACTCCAGAACTTTGAAGTACGTATCGGTGGTGAAAGGACCCAAATAAAGGCTGCTGAGATTTTGATGCTGTTCAATAGCGGGGCTCATAACTAAGGCTGCGTTCATACTGTTCGCGAAGTTTGGGAACAATTTCAGCACATCCTTAGTTTCCGAGCAGCATGAACGCAGCATGAGTGATCGCTCAAGTCCCGCTGCAAAAGATAATTTCCGAAGCGAGAAATCCGCTTCAGTATGTAGAAGCGGCCAAGGTGTCTTCGCCCATCAACGTGAGTGTTCTGAAGATAAATCCGAATTTGGGCTTCAGGACCGATAGAAACTGAAAAACTGATAATCTTGACGAAGGACGGATTTGTGATAATTTCAGATACAATAAAGTCCAACTTTGAGCTTGTTATTTTCAAACTACCCACGTTGATGGGCGAAGCGACCTTGGCCGCTCGTACCTTCTGGAACTATTCGCTTCGCAGTTCATCTTTTGCAGCGGGAGCTGAGCTCAGTTAGGGGCTCCGCTATTACACAGCTTCAAAATCTCATCATCCACAATTTGGGACGGTGCCTCTTGAGCATTGCCTACGAACGTGTAAAACGGGTAATCACACTTCCTGTCTCTAACTTGACCCATCTTACAGTGGACAGAGGAGTCTTGGCGTGGTTTGGACGAAAAATCTAATGAACGCGCTTACGTTGCGTGCAGTTTCCACATCGCCAATCCAGGAAACTGGGTCTTTACTCCGTTTATTCCAAGGGACTCGGCTAATATGTAAGTGATGAACTTGTTGACAATATCAAAAATCTAAGAATCTTCCAGATTGTATATAAACGTGCTGTATAACACACGATCCTGCGATCAGTATCACGACCCAAAATCTTGTAAAGAAACATTCAATCTCTATGTCAAGCAGTACGAACAAAAAGTAAACGATGTGGATAAGGAAGCTTTCAACAAAACAATTTCAACATGGTTTGTAACGTTCCAGAGTAGATTAACATAAGCTCATCTTTTTTTTACTCTCTTTCTGTTTAGGTCTCCCGTCTCTGTGCTTACGAAAGACACAACAGCAGTGATCTCAGAAACAACCCAATCCGTAGCTGTTTTGCCGTCTACTAAATACGTTCGTTTCGGTTTTGAGGAGAATGGTGTGTGCGTGTCGCTTCTTACTATAACTGTGAGTTTTCTCCTATCATGTTCGGAGATTCATTTTCTTTATATATTGGCGATTCTCATATATATTGGATGAACAACATCGTCATTATGAGATCTGTTCCTAATCTGCCTGGAATTGTCTTAACCGCTCATGTCTTGTGCGCATATCGCGCTGTCGGATCTCGGCATCCGTAAGGACCCACACTTTTCGTGCTGCCCGCTATCTGGTTGTTCGTAAAAGCGTAACGTAACAGCATATGCTATTGCAAGATAACCGTCGTACATTACATCAGGGTTTCATGTAGATTTCTGAAATGAGTGATATAGGGTTCTCTATACGGAATAATTAGTTCACGGGGGCGTAAACTCATAGAAAAAGGCATCACCTCAGTGCTCAGTTTAGTCACTTCCCATGTCTAAATACTATCATACGTAAGCAAAAAAAACCATTCGATCAGAGATGAAAGCCACAAAGACGTAGTTATTGGAACTGCATGAGTGTCGCGCTCGTTGCGGCATCGTCTCGATTTTTCAAAGCCCTATAAATTTTTTCCTTGCTATTTAGCCTGTTTTTCTGTTTATCAACTTTTGATGCTACTTTTACTGCAAAACATGTCTTGAGAGGTGCATACAGTGTTGTTAAAAACCACCAAGTCCAACAAACAGGTCTTACTTACTCAGTTCTCCTCCATGTGCTTCCGCCGAGCATTCTTTTCTTCATCTAGAGCAAGAAAATTTGTGCAATATTGAGCTCATTTTCGGTGTCATTGCTATTCGAAAAAGGATGTTTCATCTCACACTGGTCGAGAATTTCCATGATCGTCCACTAATGAAATTGCGCGTTGGGCCCCTAGACAGAAGATGCAGACAGCAGCGAGGGAAACTCAATGCGAAGCTATACTACAATACTCAGAGTGACACATCTTGAAAATCATCGATAGTCCGCATTTGAACGCAATATAATAAAGCAGTGAGCCCTGATATTTATCGTGATAATCAGAATTTAAAAAAAAACATTGGTTTAATCTACCGCCCATATAAGAACATCCAGACAGCGCCTATCCGTTGACCTAAGCTTTGTGGTTTGTTTGGTGGAATATTCTATTCATTAGTGGGGTCATTTAACACCTCTGAGTGGTCCCGTACGTTGAGTCGTGGCGAGTGTTTGCCCATGGCTTTGCACGGACATAGAGGGTCACAGCAGTTGTCAAGACAGAAAGCCAAGACGACGAGATGATGTGATGCCTCATGAGACTATTTGCGCCTTTTTGGGCACACTGTGAAAACACATATTGCGTCACAATAAACGTGAAAGTGGCAGTGATCACCTGCTGATAGGGTATGTTTGGCACTTGGTAGACTCTCGCGATAACCTCTGCTGTGGCGTATCTAGAAAAAGTTTCCATTCTTTGATTACCTAGTCATTTTGAGACGAATTTGATTCTTAACAGAGACAAATTATCGAAATTTTAGCCCTATCCTAAGTTACGGTAGACAATCGGCGTTAATTTACTGGCTATAATTCTAGGGTATTTCAAAAACCTGGAAATTATTTCAAAAACCCTTTCCTTCAAAGGAAGAAACGATTTGTATACTGATCTCATTTATCTCTCTCCATACCTCATCTTTTATTCATATTCCTCTACTTGGTAATCGTTACTACATGTAGATTTAACACAAAAAATCCCGAGCACTATGTTGAGTATGCTTGAACTTCAGCGTTTCTTGAAAGAAATCTTCTTGCGCTAGGTTTACGCTTTTGAAATGTACTTAAGATAAATAATTTGAGTAGCATCACTTTCTTCTACAACGGTAACTTCTACTCTTGTGCTGGAGCTCACGGTTGCTTTGAGGCAACATTCTGTATATTTACGAGCAGATCGCCCTATTGTAACACGTGGAATGGTAATGAGTAGTGAATGGGTTCAGCACGACGATAAATGCGGATTAGTAGTGCCGCAAAAGATATCGAGGTCGCATATGCCAGGACGCGACATTCGAATTCGAGAAAAAATCCAAGGTGATACTCGAGAAAAAAAAACTTATTGTATCATGCATAGAATTGCGTTTCCTTGGTCAATACTTTCAAATACGAGAACGCGCAACACACAACCTCAATTCTCATTGTTGCTATCGGCGGGGAGCCTTGTAGATGGAGCGCACTCCGCGCTGGCCTCATCTCAGCTGCATTCGTTTCGATGAGGGAATTTCCAGCGAGTGAGGGGTCATTGAGGAACAGTGCTTATGAAGCAGAAAATGAGGATCAGGAGCATCAGCCTAACACTGGTCTATTTGAGAACTTAACGGCTTCGAATGGCTATAAAATTTTACGTTTTCATTTCGTTGTAGTTGTTATTTTTTTTATTTGGTACTTTCTGAAAGTGTCTATTTTCGCAAGCATCCACATGCTAAACGCACATGAGTGACAGTTTGTAAAAAATTCTGAGAGTATTATCAGGTTGTTTCATAAGTTTCGTTACACTTGACGGAAAAAGATCTTCATAATTTCTTTACAAAAATTTTCCTCCCGGGTTGTAGAACTCGATGTATACACGTCACACATAAAGAGTCTATTTTTTGGATTTCTTGAAATTTTTTCAAAGTATTTTTGGCAAATTGCGACTGCGTCATTGACAAACTTATAAAACGACTGCAAAAGATGAAAAAGACGCATGAGAACTTTTTTTAAAAGAAAAAAAATGAAGTTGTAGTGCCTTCGGAATTACTGTATCATGACTTATAATAACGGGCTAAGGATGCTTACGTGACTTTGTGTGTGTGTGTGTGTCTGTTACGAAATTCGTGGAGCGTGTTCCAGCCAGTGTTCTAAGCCCAAATTTTGTATAGCGCATGCTACCTTCATGAAAGTCCAACACGCAAAAGCACGAGTAGATTCATTCAGTGGATCCCTCAAAAACTGCGCGCCAAACGGGTCCACCTGGCTTCTGTACCGCAAAATTCGGTCCGTATCACCACTTTTTGCAGAGTCGTGGATGAGTTTGGTAAGCAAATGTGCAAGCGATGGAGTTTAGCCAGAAAAGTGGTCGAAAGTTTACTACATAACGAAAACGGCGCCAAAACGAATTGGTTGTGTAAATGGTCAAATTGGCAAGGTTCTAGTTAAGCGTTTGAGAAGGTTTTCGCACAGAGATGTACCTCACGGTTACTATTACCTTTATGGCGACTACCAAGCCATGACAAATCCAAAAACCTATTCAAATTTGCGTTTGTCTTCCTGCGAAAAGTTTCATCCACGCGAAATCACCGATCTCACGTGAAAAGACTTTCTAAATGAGTGGTTGTTTACATATTCGTGGTAGTTGGCATAGTGCGGTGAGTTCCAGTGCCACGATTTCACGAGAATGAGTAAGGCACATAGATAGTAGAGCCAGTGCGAACCTCTGCGAAGCAGAGGTGACGCACTGGTATCCTATAAGGTCCATGGAACTAAAACAGGATACTTTGCCGAAATTTGTTGAGTTTCTCAGAAGACGACAAAGAAAGCAAGCTATGCAGCAATATAAAATATTTTTCGCAAGCATCGCAGACTGAGATCGAGAAACCTAGCGTAAATCGAGTATTCCGACCTGTTATGTTATATTCCGGAAAGACCGTGTGAGCTTGGTCACATCGGACATGAGGCGATTCGCCTCTCTATGCCTTTAAGTGATTGAGTGCTCGTATAGCATACGTGTAGCGAGTGTGTGATTGACGTGTACACTGCTAAGCATGGGTAATCTCCTGCTTCTCTTGCTTAGAGAGTTACCCTTGTTTTTGCAGCTCTAGCTATGAAGAAGAGAATCGATGATTCTGAGGGTAGAAAGCAACATATTCAATTGCGTTGCACTGAGAATTTGGCAGATGTTCAAATTAGTCTGCTCCCTTGATCCCTAGCACAACCATCAATAGTATGTTACACGCGAGCCATAACGCAATGCTTGATTGACAAGTCCGCTCGTAATCATCGCGCATTGCCCCCAAACATGGTCGTACTGGAGAAGATGGGTCCTTTAGTTTAAAATTTGATATGGTCCTTTTCAGGTTTACTACATTGTCTGCGATGAGACAATAGCAAAATTTACCAAGTTTCCTACAACCGTGACGTCAAATTCACGCGATGAAATGGTCAAAGTCACTGGAAAATGTGTGGCAAACGCGATACCCATACAGAGCGGTAATAGTTACTTTCTGAGTAGATTCAAAGATTCAAAAAGGCTCAATCTTTTTCAGAGGCTCCAACTGGGTTTTGTACCTCTTCGGGTCGCTGGAATCATCTCATAGGGGAATGCGCTTGCAAACCTGGATTTACCAGTGGTCCTTCTAAAGAAGAGGAAGTATGTGTTGGTGAGTGAAGTAGCATCTTACAATTTTCGGAATAATGCATTCTTTGCATCTTTGTTTGTTTCTATACGTTCTTCGTTGGTATTGTGTTGGTGAGTCGAAACACAAATCCGCTGTAATGACGATGATTATGGTAATGAATTACTACAGTCTCCTCATACGTCGCTTACCACACCGCATTCTGACCTTTCCAAGTGAAGGTCGTGTTCGGTGTCTTTCCAAGGAAGAAATTTGATAATCTTCTATAGAAAGGAGTAAATTACGCATCTTAGCATGGTAATGGACTCATCATGCGCGGAGGTCATACACTCCCCGTCAAAGAGCGGGTTGCGTCTCTGTTAATGGAAGCCGAAAGGGCGGAAAGCTACGCTCGGCTGACTGAATGACCGCAGCATACGGAGATCATCATAAAGCAATGTGGCTAATTAGAGCCACTGAAGAAAACGCGGCGCTGTGCTGATTATGTGGTTCCTTTGGGGCTACTTGAGAGAGACTGGACCTGTACGGATTGCTCAAACTCAAAGTGATTCTTTTGTTTACCTCAAGTTTGAAATGCATATCGATAGACCGGTCTCAAATATTGGTTCATAGTAAAATAGGTTTTTTCTACCCCAGACAGGTTTAAAAAGCCGATATAGATAGCTATCCTCGGGATGTTAGAGTGCGGTCTTTAGCTTGCGCTTCGCGCGCTGGATAGGTTATTTTACTTTCGGGTTCAGCATATTTATCAAACAATCAATGAAATTTAGGTTATTCTAGATGGAACACTGGACATATTTCTCTCTGTAATGTTCTGTGAGCCATCATAGCACTTGCATCTAGAAGTCTTGGACGGCTATCCTAATTGCATGATGCGATTATCACATTGAACGAGGAGCGCATCATCTAGTTCAAATATTGTTTGTGCGCACGCTATTCGGCGTAGGGGGTGAAATCCGTCGGCGTCGTAAGAGGGTTAGCGAGAACAGGTGCAAAGCGTGTGCACACCCTCTAACGTTGCGTGTAATTGCGGCCAGAGCTGATCTATTTAGCTAAGTGAGTTAGCTGCAAATTGATGTGTTAATTTGTGAATGTGGGAAGAGAAATTGGCGGTCATGGACATGATGAGCATAGGTTTGGAATGAGTTGCGAAATATCATGTGATTCTTGAAAAAGATACTTAAAATCTGCTTTTTTTGCAATAATTTTGTCAAGTCATCGGAAACGCTTCCCGTTGCGCTATGTTAGCGTGATGCTCAAGAGCTGTTTGTTTGTTGCCCGTAGTTCACTTATATATAAAGCTGAATGTCTGTATGTCTGTATGTATGTTTCTATCTATGTGCGTATGTTCCGAATACAAATTTTTATTTCTGAACCGATTCGGACCAAGCTTGGCACACCTACACTTCGGGGTGGGGCGGGTGTCATAGGCTACTTTTCGTCATCGATCGACATCGATTTTTATCAATTCCGATTTTTTCGCATAGTATGCCCTACGAGGCTAGGAGTCGGCACAAGGGGGTAATCGAGCATGCTGATTACGAATACAATATTAGTGTTGAAATTATCCGTTACTTTTATTGATTTTATCGATTTTTTGCAAACTTTGAGCTACGTGTCTGGGATATGGCAGAGGGGGAAAGTGAGCAGGCTGATTACTAACACAGCTGGAGTAGTGAATTGGCATATAGACGTGGGCACAGGGAAAGATTGTGCAGGGATAGAGATGAGAGCTTTATCATAGTTTTGACAGGGCCGGGGCCCGGTAAGCCAGCTCGTTTTCTACAAGCTCAACCGCTTTCACTGTTTTCTTCCCTTTTGAGTGTATAAGTCTACTAGCTGCGGTCCCCGGTCCCGCCCGGGCCGAGAGTCCAGAATGGCCCAGTGGGGTGTGCTTCAAGATGTATACTTACCAGTCCTCCACTTTCTTCAGTTCATATCTTCTGTTAGTCTCCTGCTTCACCTCCATGACAGTTTTAGCGCATCTTAATCGAGGCCATGGAATAATGTGAGTCTTGTGCACCTTCTAATATCTGCTCCAAGACGAAGGCGGTCGCCCAAATAGGTTGAAAGCATGCGAGGCTGCAGCGCGCGGACAATTATCAACCACAGGGCGCGCGCACGCTTGGTCAGCGGTCGCTCACGGGAGCGAACGCGCGACCCGTGGTCGACAATTGCCCGCGCGCCGCGTGCGCGTTAGTCTTGTATGCTTTCAACCTATTTGGGCGACCGCCTTCGTCATGGAGCAGATATTACTATTTTGGATTTCGTGTGCGAACAATTTTGCGATTTTTCAAAGTTTATCGTGAGGATAAAACGCATTATTTATTCATTCCAACAGCGACCTCAAAAGAGCGGTTCGGGGGGTGGGGGGAGGGTAAGGGGTGAGATGCTTACGAAGGTGTTTTCATTAATGCTTTTTGTTTGCTGTTTAGCCATTCTTTTTTTTAATGCAAAAGTTTCACAGAGCAACCAGTGACCATTGTACCTTCTTCTTTCCAACAGTCATGTTTTAAGGCACTCTAAATAGCTTCCAAGCAGGCCGAAGTTGTCAGCCCATTGTCTGTACCTTTCATAAATTAGCTGATTTTTGAAGCCTCAGTAGAACGGGGTACACGCAAACTGCAGCTTACGAATTGCTCTGAAAATCCGTGAACATGAGAGGGGGGGGGGCAAAAAAATTTTCATAATAAGGGTTGCGTAGCGTCAGGCCACGCACTTTGAAAATTATATTGGGGATTTTTAGAATTTTTGTTTTATCTTGGAGAGTTTTTTTTTGCAGGGATGAGTTGAAATTTTAAAACCTGTAAAATTTACTTTGATTATTGATAGTACATGATAGCACTCTCTATGCGGCCGTGAGCAAATTTATTTTCACATATGAAAAGCGATATTGCGCAAGTGTATGAAAGTACAGATCGTTCTTCCGCCGATACTTATCTTGTGTATCATGGCGGCAACCTTCAAGCAAAGTCATGACAAATGTGTGCTGCGGCGGAAGAGTCAGCGCAGAGGAGCGGCGTGTTTTGTTGAGATTATTTATCGCAGCCATCACTACCATCGATATACTTGCGGTCTAGGAACGGAGAGACGGCGGGGCAGTCTCTGATATGAGCTTAAAGGCACCGTCCACCCAGATTTTCGACTTTCGCGTTTTTGTCGTTTCTGGACCTTCTCATGTCCCTGATTTCGAATATGAAGTCGAGAATGCGCGGAAACTCCGACAATACCTGTTCCGGAGGACCCACAGGGCGGCTTTCCGGAACGGTGATTGGATGGGCGCGCACAAATGGACGATGGATGGGGGTCCTCGTGCATCTTCGCTATTCCGAAGCGACATTTTGCGCCGCGACTTGGGCATTGGATTGACAGGGGGCCCTACTATGATATGCTGCAAAAAGTTCAACAACCCCAACTTATGGTGAGCGGTGCCTTTAAAGGCACCGCTCACAAGTTGAGGGTGATGAGATTTGATGGTTTATTATAGCGGGGCCTTTAACTAAGCAGTCGCTCAAGTCGCTCTGCAAAAGAAGAATTTCAAAGCGAGAAAAACGCTCCAGGAAGTAGAAGCGCGGCCACGCCGGCTGCGGCCATCAACTCAGGTAGTCTGATACAAGTCCGGAGTTGGGCTTCGGAGTACATAGAAGGGTAGCAAAGATGATAATCATTATGCAGGGCAGATCCATGAAAGTTCTGGTTACAAGCCCAAGCTTAGAGTCATTATCTTTGGACCACCCACGACGATAGACAGAGCCAGCGTGGCCGCTCCTACCTTCTAAAGCGGTTTTCTGGCTTCGGAAGTCATCTTTAGCGCTGGGACCTGAACTGTTACTCATTTGAGGGCCCTGCTTTTATTTAGCATTAAGATCTCTAAAACCTCAGTTTAGATGAACTGTGCCATTACTGTGTGCTTCTTCCTTCAACGTTCGCCGAAATTTTCGCGGACAATCCCTTGGCATGGATGAATGTTGTGAACGAAATGCAGTCTAAAATGTCTCAAGTGCACGCGACGCGTTTACTTTGAGTCTGTAGATTCAACAGATTCAATTACTGCAGTTTTAGAGACTCGTCTCCCTATCCGTGTCCTTCATTGATGAGTTTGGGCAGTGATTCACATGTGCGCAATAGATTGCGATGATTGCCGTCCATAAAAGAAATACCGCCAGGTGTGCTTGATATGGGGAAGATATGCCAATGATTTACAGCCGAAATGTTGCTGCTGCCGCAATTTGACATAATTTGGCAGTAACCAAATTTGGATTGAAATTCAAATTACTCACTGTTTTCTTTGTGGTGTAGTGATCAGCAAGATCTAATTGGGGCTTAGAAAATTTTCGAGGAACACTCAAAATGCCTCTGGCACGCGCTACGCATGATCCACCTCATCCACTTCACTATTGGTCAAATCAGTGTACTAATCAATAGCGAAGTGGATGAATGGATTGAGGAATCAAATGAATCAAGTGAACTTCCGCTTCGCTGTTGGTCTGTTCACTAATTTGTCTAATAACGGCGTGGATAAAGTAGTTTAAGCAGATCAAGTTGACGTGTGCCTTAGTGAAGTTAACTTTCTTTGTGTATTGCCATGTTTTACCGGATCCGGCTGTTGGCACGGGTCCGGTAAAACATTGCATTATCTTCATCCACGAGATAGAGTTCAGCATTGTTCAGTGTTGGTTGCTTTTTACCATATTTGTTTTCTGTCTCAATCGAAATGCGTTACCACAATTGACAACTACTGTTGCTTGCATGAGAGTATACGTGCTTATTTTAGGAAAAGAAATTCTCTTCTTATCTCAACGCGTACTAGCAGCAAAATCCCGACATTCAAAAAGCACCTTAGCTCAACAGAAGTTTTTCGACATTGAAACACAATCTATTTCTTGTTAGCGAAAAACTTCGGTCTCGCTTCCATCCTACTCTCCCCTCCCACCTGCCCAATTCTTTTTTCTCCAATCCTTTGCGACCTTTGACTCTCACGGACATTGCCAGCGTTGTCGGCAAATGAGAGATTACCATGTTTGTTGCGAATCATACGCATGACCGCAACAGCCCTCAATGGTAAGCCGATGCAATGTATATTCTGCTGACGGCTTTGCGAGCTATTAGCGCTTTTTTGCCGCACCAAGGATATGTTTGTTATCTGAGAAGAAAGGATAGAAGCGTCGGCTAGGTCACTGCCGGTGTGTTTGGAGAGCAGCCAGTTGACTGTATCGCTTGACACGCAGCTGAAGTGTGCAGGTGTCAGCATTTGGGAAATTATGGTTGGCAGTACTTGGTGCAGTGAAACCTAACGAACGTTTGATCACTCAAATTTGATTTTCCCGTGTTTGCTCATAAAAAATCTGTAGCTTACAATAAATATCGAAACAGTCACTCTTATAGGTTCTTTGACCTAACTGAGCGAAGTTTGTGCTGATCAGATGTCTATATGAAAAACTATTGTTGTCGAGCAGAATCCCAAAAAAATCAAATTTGCGCTTTTGTACTGCCTGCTTAGACATCACAATACGAAGACATTCAATCAGCGCAGACTTTGCTCTATTAAAAGATCCCATTGCCTACAATACTGAGTGCTTCGATTTTTGGAAGTATCAGATTTTAGAGGGTAAACACAGGAAAATCAAAACTTGAATGTTTTTTACCGCTTCCGTCTCGCAATGTGTGCGTATTAGGAAGCGAGCTACACGCAGTTGTAAAGTGCATGGTTTTTCCAAGCAGTAAATGCATGCAAATCCTTTGAGAAATCAAAGACTATAAATATTCAGAAATTTCTTGGTAGAACTTCTGTTCCGACCTCGTTTTTTTTATGAAAAGCAAAAATGAGGTTTGCTAGCAGGAGTCACTGTGGTGCGTCCATCCATGAAATCATGCAGGTGGTCGCTCTATTCGTAGACGTTCGTATATGTTATTTGCAACGTCTGTTGTTGCACCCGAGTGCCAGAAATAATTGCCGTCATAAAGTATTTAATGGTTCTTATGGGTGCTACGGCTGGGAATCGCTCGTAAATATAAGGTCAGGATATCCGATCAACAGAAACAGCCAAATACTCATGCAGATGTGGATTTCCACTCACATTTGTTTGTTTCAGAATGTCCCGCGGGGAGCTACAAAAACGAGCGAGGAAATGCGTCATGTCAGAGGTGTCCAATGAACTCCGAGGCCTTGGCTACTGGCAGTGTTCACTGTGCATGCCGACCCGGTTTTTATAGAGCTGATAATGAATCGGCCGACCGGATATGTACTCGTGAGTTATTTTTTTCTTGTGAAACCCCTCAATGCCTCTAGTTTCGGCAAGCAAGTTTTGTTCTAGAGGGACCAAATCATCCATCTCATCTGCATGTCAGAGATGTAGATCAGTCTTCGGCTGTTCTGGAATGGGACGAACCATCTTCCTTAGGAGGAAGAAAAGTCGGTTATATAACTTGCCGGTCAGTATCAGAGTCAAAGTATGACCATTTTAGGAAGTCTGGTACGAATGGGAATGCTCGCGTGGTGACTGCGCTGGTATAACGGCTACACCTGCTGATAGAAAGCTCATGTCAAGGACTCTCAGATTATCTGGGTTGAAGCCGGACACAGAATACTCATTCAATATATTTGCCAAGAACAGCGTTAGTTTTGCCGTTTGTATGCTACTCATTCAGTCTTTGGATATCTTGAAATTTAGGTCTCCAAGTTCTCACAGACGCCCGCATATCGCGTTGTGGATCTACGCACAGCTTCACTAACTCGTTATGTAGTGACGGGTCTACGTGTGGAAAGCGAGCAGAAAGATGGAATAACCCTTGCTTGGTTAGCACCGGCGGTTTCCAAAAGGGTCAAGTACGAGGTTGGTACCATCTGCTGCACTATCATCCCAGCATATAGTCTGTCCCAATCGGGATGAGGACGAAACGCTGGCGTAAGTTAGAGAGAGCGAGGAGTTTCAAAAGGACAAGCAGGACGTAGACGTGACGCAAAGTCGTAGCGATGCGGTTGCACATCACCTCAATTTTGCCTGATCCGGACTGGGACGAACTGTAAGTTGTGTTTTAGGTTGAAATGAAATCCGCGACGGGGAAAGCGATCTTGGCAATAGCAGAGCATACTTATCACACTTCGCTTAATATGGTTCCAGGAACACCGTATCGATTCAGGGTAAATCATTATCAGTTTGCCTCAAAAGTAAACCATTTTTCTTTTCTTTGGAAATTTGTGTTACCATTCGATAGAGTAAAGCAGGCTCTATGTAATTACCACCAAAGGTCCACCTAAGTCGTACTTCAGGTAAAGTCTGGAGCCAGAAACTAGAATTTTGCAAGCACCTCAACAATTGGATCTCCTTCCAAAAAATTCTTACTGACCTCTAACTCAGTCAACTTACGGTGGACACATAATGGTACAGAAATCCATTCTGTCGATTTTTTCCACTGTTCAAATTTCAAAATGATGTACCCGAAAAGGCAGAATTTCCTGGATTTTGTATGTTAAAATTGTTGGTTCTTAATTATCAAAGAAAATACGAAGATAATTCTGAGATTATACTAACCAAGTATTGCAGTACATAATCAAATATGTGGGAGGATTTTTGAACTATTTTTTTCTCGATTTCTATGAGAGAAAAAAATTCGGCAAATGCTTATATAAATACAACTATATATCTTCTGTATGAAGACTATCGAAAACCTGTACAATTTTTTTTCGCAAAAATCCAATTCTTAAATGGTAAGTTTTTTTTTATTTTGACTCCACTACGTGGATTACGACCTGGATGGATCTTTGGTGATCATTCTGTAGGGTTGGCTTTACTCTATCGAAAGGTTCCTCAAATCTGCTGAAAGAACTGCTACATTTATCCGATCCATTTAGAAAAGATCTTTTTATGGGAGAACTCAATGCAATGTAATGATTGATATTTACTCATTTTTATGATTTTCAGGTACGCGTCTATGTGGACGGTTGGGGCGAATGGAGCGATCCGCTCTGGTACGAACTAGGTCGCGGGATTGTAAGTTTGCATTGAATCTCTTGATCACGCTGTCATCCGTACTTCCAGGTGCAGCAACATAAAGGATCGGAGACAACTTTCTTGGGATCTCTTCCTGGCTGGGTAGTTATGACGGCGATGATGCTTTTTGTCGTTGTTCTTGGATTTCTCATTGTATTATGTCGTCGGAAACCACACAATCGAAAACAGATGAGCGATCTAGACGTGTTGGATACATACAAGCAGGGTTGGTTGTCATTTGCGTACACATCTTGATTAATCATTATCATGAACTGATAATGATTGGCTTGCTTTGTGTCTGCTCTGCTTCATCGGAAGCATGTTGAGGTCTTACGTTCCATATGCGCACGCTGTTATTAGCGCTTTCGTATCGTGTTGACCCGTGCTTCTATTTTTACAGACACGATGACACCTGACTACAGTTCTAATAACCGGCAATTCACCGACGCCTTTCGGAGTGGGAAGCGTAAGTTGTCAGCTTGAGTCTAAAGGCAGTATCCGGGCAAAAACTCGATTTTGAGATTTTGTGCTTATACGGGCCAATTCGCCATGCTGAATTCGAAAATCCACATTGGAAAGCGCGAAAACGGCAAATAAGGGCTCTAGCGCAGGAGGGAAACAGCAAGTGGGCAGGGTCCTCCCCAATGTGAATTCACTCTCCCAGCTTCCGGAGCGGTCTTCTCGATTCCGCTAGCCGTCCTAATACCGTTACCAGCCAAGTGCGAATGATTGACTTGAAATCGGAAGCGAGAAGATTGCTCCGGAAACTGGGAGCGTGAATTCACAGTGGGGAGCACTCCGCCCACCTGCTGATTTCCCACCTGTGTTAAAGCCGTTTTTCGCCGTTTTCGGCTCTCCAATGTACATTTTCGGATTCAGCGTAACGAAAAGATCCGAGTAAGCACAAAATCTCAAAATCGAGTTTTTGCCCGGACACTGCCTTTAAGTGGTTCTTAGTGTTTTACAATACGTCACACCTTTGCTTCGACTGCTTGCATGCATTAGAAGCGTCACATCCCTGTAAATATCTCTTCTTAAAAAACTGACATTGTTTTTCAGTTAATGCTCCTTTGATACCATCCTATGGAGGAAGTTCCGTTTCTCAACCTCCTCCCTATTACGGTAGTGGTGTGACCGGTACGACAATGGCATTCAAACCGTACGTGGATCCTACTGCCTACGAAGATCCGAATCAGGTACTTATATTGATGCAAAAGCATTGTGAAGGTATAAAATGGTTAATGAGGAACTATGTTACAGGCGCTTGTGGAGTTCACTTTTGACATTGATCCCGCTGCAGTGTTCATAACTGACGTGATAGGAGGTGGAGAATTTGGCGATGTTTGCAAAGGAGGCTTGAAAAGGAGTTTGATAGGTGGTGGCATTGCCAACAGCATCTTTGACAATGAAGTGGGTATCATATGTCTACAGGGGATCCCAATCTGAGTGTCAAGGTCCGCGCGGCTCGCTGGTCGCGAGCCACCTCCTTAGGTTCGCTCTTGAAGGATACAGTATTTTCTCATAACTTACTTAGATACTTAGAAACTTACAAGGGAAGGATACCATGTCGCAGTGGAAAATCGAAATCATATGCATATCATTAGATGCATCTTAATTTGCTGCCAAATCTACCCTTTTTACCTGCCAAGAGCTTCTCTAAATAAGATATGGACGGTCAAGGATGTGAAGTTACTGGAGTTTTGATGCGTAGTCGTAGTGTGCTTTGAAAACCAGCTTGGGCGTGATTAATTGGCGTGTTTTTGAGTGTATATACTGCAAAGAGTGCATACATATTCCAAACACAAGAATAAGTGTTTTCGAACTAGTAGTTCTCGAAGATGTGGTACCGGATGTCAACCAAACTTGGACGTTGAAACGCTCATAACTTCTTCTCGTGATGTGCTTAGCAGATATGGAAATTAGATTTGAAATCAGTTCGTCAAGACGCATCTACTGATATGCACACCATTTCAATTCTCCACTGCTATCTGGTATTGTTCCCTTGTTAGATGCTCAGATGGCCTGTTTTCACGTGACGTGCGGGCCCCAGTACAGAAGTTTCCACTGATACCTGTCCTTGCTTCAGACATCCACGTTCTTGATTGTCGTCGGCGGCTGCGTCCACGAGTTCAAGGGGCGAAAATCGTCCAGCTGATTTCTCAGCTGGTCCATCCGTTCCACGAGCACGTTTGCCCATCTCGTTGGAGCTTTTCCTCGGGAACGTTTCGCTTCGCGAAGGAAGACCTCCATGTTTTTAGTGTCCCTCTGTCGTCTGTTCTTCTCATGATGTGATCGGCTCATTAGTGTTTCACTTTTGCAACTTACTCCGTAAGATATTACTCAGATAGTCGCCGGGGGTAGGCGGCCATGCGATTTTTGGGCATGTTGGGCAAGCGAGCACCGGAAAAATAGTCTGCTGATTTCTTGCGGTCTGCTTGCAGATTTTCGAAAGAAAGTCGAACGATTTTTGGACGAACGTTTGGGAAACAAGCGTGGGTTTTCATAAATCAATTGCGACACAATGACAGCATTCTGCGGACTTTCCGCGAGAATATGCAAAGACGTAGGGCCGCGTGGTCCTTTGTGAGGGACCGCACGTGCCAGATAGACCTCCCGTTGAGAGAAAGTACCCCAAACACGGGTAATTGAAGCATCGATGACAATCTGGCATATAGAGTCTTACCTTTGCTCGGCGTACGTCCGAAACCGCGTAAAAAGAGTCCGAACGCTCGCTGAAATTATGGCCAGCCCTCGCTGAAAGAAATTATTTGACGAGCACCCGCAGAAAACTCTGTATTGCTGCTCCGCTAGCAGAACATTCGACAGTAAAGGAGGTGCCTCCCGTTGAAGGTTTGGTCACGCCCCAAAATTCTGCTGACCGCCTGCAAGAAAATGCGAGTTGCGGACCGCCTGCTTCCGTCGATTATCTGAGTAGGTGTGACGCGAGTATCTCGTGTAGACATTATCCTCCAGCTCGCGGACATTCGACGGAAAAATGTTCTCGTCCTGGAACCGTGGACGTCTTTGTGGTCTGAATCGCTGTGCGCACTTCAACAGGTAGAATTCGTGGTAGTACTTCTCCAGTGGAAACAACGAGAATCTGCACGGGTGTTGATGAGCGGAAGAGGTTGGTATAGAAGTTTTTCGCGATAGATTCCATCTTGTATCGGGAAGAAGTCGGGGTCTTCGTTTAATAGTGCAGCCAGCTGCGATGTTCACAGAGGTCCCTTCGGCACTTCTTAGGACTTCGTCTTCCTCCGGCTGCTTCCAGTATTCTGGTTTGCCTGTACTTCCTGAGATCCTCCTACAAAGCCTCTGCAACTGACGTTGGCTATCAGTCGCTTGAGATGGGTTGCACTCGGATCTTGCATCAGTAATCTTCTTTTTTCGAATAGTTCCTTGGTGGTGTTCGAGATGCATTCCAAGTTCTTCTTGAAGATAACTAAGGACGCACTCTCCGCAGGCTCGCGATCTTTTCAGAAACCAGTCGTAGTCGTACACTGGATCCTCCTCGATGAGCCAATCACAACTTGATATGAGCTCTTCCAGCCTGTTACCGTCATAAACGACATTCTTGCTTGCGACACTGTGCCAAACCTTCTTGTCCAGCTTTCGACTGAATCTTACCTTCGCTCGAAGGAGGCGGTGATTGGAGCCACTGCAGAAGGATGGAACTACTGATAGAAGCAAACTCCACCTTCGGTTGGTGAGGTGGTCGATCTCTGCGCGAGTCGTTCTGTTGAGCGATTCCCTATGTCCACCGGCGATATTCTTTCTTCATGTTAATGAATTTCCATGAAAAGTCGTGCGGCGAAGAGAAGCCTAACGAGACGATTACCGTTTTCGTTCCGGAGCCCATATCCAAACTTCCCTATCCTATATTCCTTTTCTAGTGGCATTCCATCGCGTTGAAGTCGCCCACAACAAACTTGTAAAAAGACTTCTCGTTGTGGACGATCTCCTTCACTCTTCGTAGAGAGCATCTAGTTCTGATTCGTCAGCTGCTGATGTTGGAGAGTAGCAGTTGATGATGCTGACGGTCTTCTGACGTGAAGGTCGTAGTCGTAGGATGGGAGGTGATAGGATCTCATGCGAATCGACAAGGTGGGCATAGATGGGTGGACGACAAAGCCAACGCTTCCAACGTTTCGTGTTGGAATTCTCGCCACGAATGATGAGGGTCCCATCACTCATCTGTCGCACGTCCTTCTTCCTGGATTTCGTTTCCTGCAGAGCGATGACGTAGTACTTGATGTGCTCTGCAGCGTCGAGAAGAGCGTGGAGGTCAGTGTTAGTGGAGACTGTCCTGGCGTTGTAGGTGCAGAGCATGAGGCAGTCTCCATGGCGTGTCGTGCGGGCAGACGTGTCGTTTTTGTCCAATTCGAAAGGCGCCCTGAGTACCCTAGCATCGTTCTTGCTACCACCCGGCGCCGTAGGCGGGATCCGATGTTCAAGGTTTCTTTCTTTTCTTCTAAATGGCGGAGTGATAGAATTTGTCCTACAAGAGCAGACTTACTAGGCCTACTCTTAAACTCCATGGGGCGATCGCTGACCCGGATGTGGAGCGGGGAGAACCGCTTAGCGACTGGAAAAACCAGACGGTGGGGGATCTGGCCTGGCCGGCTCTTAGCTAGTCATCCGGTCGAAACCGGAAACGTCGGACTCCTTCACAGCTTGGGAGACCCTACCAGTTCGACACCCAGTGTCACTACCACGCGCTGAGGGGGCCGACCATTGTGGGAGTTTCCATAACTTAGGCATGACAAAATATATCCTCAAGCATCAGTTGCTGAGAAATCCCCCAGACACGTTCGCGACGCGGCGAGTGACCCAAGCGACTCAGACAGTCGAAGCGATACCTCCGGCGGGCAAATGGCGCGAGTCTGCCACTTCGCACTCTGAGCGCTCCGAAGCCCTGCCATTTTGGTGCTCCGGGGCTCTCCCAAAACTAGCGCACCTCCGGAGCAGAGATTTGCGAGTCCCGGAGAGGGGTCCCATTCGCCTGCTTATGACGTCACCGTGTCGTCACTGTCTGAGGAGGTGGCTTGCAAGGACTCGAGCGCCGCCGACCGCGACACTCATTTGGGATCACCTGTTTTCCATTGCTTTCATTCTCAAGTCTTTTTCTCTAACATATAATGTTGAGATCGACGTCGTAGCCATAAAAACCCTAAAACCGGGAAGCAGCGCTAAAGCAAAAGCTGACTTTTTGCTGGAAGCCTCTATCATGGGTCAGTTCACACATCTGAATGTGATCCGCTTGATTGGTGTCGTCACGCGGTCGGAGCCAGTAATGATAGGTGAGTACTTCACTAGACTTCGCTCAAATCTAAATTCGATTCACTGATTATAGTCACCGAGTATATGTCGAATGGCTCGCTTGATCATTTTCTACGCAGTAAAGATGCTCGAGGAGAAGAAATAGGATGGCCACGAATTGTAGACATGCTACGGGGTATATCTGCCGGTATGAAATATCTCACCGATAAAGGATTTGTACACAGAGTAAGTAGTTTTATTGATATCAGATATGAATGTAAATACGATATACTCTTTCGCGTAATGACTGTATAGGATCTTGCTGCCCGAAATGTACTTGTCGATTCTGAGCTTACTTGCAAAATTGCTGATTTTGGACTGTCACGAGGTGTAGACGATTCGAATGAGCAGGAGTACACTACAAATGGCGGAAAGGTAAGGTGCTCTTGCATCAAAGGCAGGTCCACCGAGACCTGAGATTGGTGAGATTTTGATGCAGCGCAGCGGGGCCGCTAACTAGGTGATTGCCGATATCTCCCTGCAAATTACGTGCTCTGAATGCGAGAAGATCGTTCTAGAAAATCAATGCTGCGGGGCGCCACGCCCATCAACTTGGATGGCGTAGCCGTAATAAGCTGGATACTTTCATAAGTTTGTTTTATCTGAAAAACAGGTTTCCGACGCGCTCGATTTTATGATTTTGGGCTCGTTACCTCTAGGTCACCTAAGTTGGTGGGCGTGGCGCCCCCAGCAGCATCTACCTTCCGTAGCGATTTTCTCACTTCGGAATACACCTTTTGCATCAGAACTTGGGCAATACTTAATTAGTTGCCTCGCTATTGTACTGCATTAAAATTTTACTACCTCAAATCTGGGTGAACGGTGATTAACGGTAATGGTCCTTTAATTTGTTTTTACGAAAGATTTATCAAATATTTGTTATAGATACCAGTTAGATGGACATCACCAGAAGCTATCACTCACCGTAAATTCACTGCAGCATCAGACGTGTGGAGCTTTGGTATATTAGTATGGGAGGTTTGCTCATTTGGGGAACGTCCGTATTGGGACTGGACCAATCAAAAAGTATGTGATTACCTATTTTACCTTATCATAAGTGGCAAATATAAGATCAGTAGACGGCTTTGATTCAAGTTTCTAATATTCATGCGTTTTTCTAGGTCATCAGCGAGATAATGCTTGGTTATCGGCTGCCACCCCCAATGGATTGCCCTGTCGCTTTGCATCGACTCATGTTATGGTGTTGGCGACTAGATCGTCATGAACGTCCCACATTTGCGCAGATTCTCTCCATTCTCGAAAAGTATAGTCAGAATCCTGAATTCATTCATGTGGACAATATATCATTTACTACAAAAAAGCATGCAAATTCAACCGCCAAGTGGGTTTCCATGAATTTTCCGCGCCCAACAGCTTCTTATTATAATATTTAGTATTAGCAGTGGCTTTACCAAATCCTCTGGTTCATCGTGTAGTCCGATGTCGTTATCGCCTTCGTCAATGCCTACATTGAATGAATTTATGAGATCATTGAATCTGACACACTGCATGGATAAATTAAACAAGGAAGGCATTTTTACTGTCATGGACTTGGCTCGAAGGAGTCATCTGGATCTGCTGGCTATAGGTAAATGCAGAGGTTTTCATTATCTCCGTGTTTGGTGATCTTTCAAAATATATTTCTTATTAAGGTATCATTTCGGAGGAATATCAGCGAATAAACAATGCTCTATCACAGTTACCAAGCCCACCAGCGCTTGGTAGAGCAACTGATAACTCAACGTTACCGTTTCGATCTGCTACAATCAGGCCAACACGGCCCGACGATGGTTTCTTTGTCTGAACTGTCATCTTCCCTTTTTCGATATGTATCTACGAAGATCCTATTTTCTCCCAAATGCAGGTATTTGTCGTCATTCATGTTTTGTGTGCCCGCGTTGTCGTTATCCCGGCTGATTCTTTTGTACTTCGACTTTGTATAAATACTACTTAGCACTGCTTTAGCATAGGTTTCCAGCACTTTGCTTTACCTTTTGTCACCTAGTGCTGGTCATTCTTCAGCACATCTGCCACTGATAATTGTACTGTCCTAATAATGGTGCGCTTATTAGCACTGTCGATATCCGAAATGATACTGGTCATGTTGTTAGATTTTCTTGTGCTTGGTTCATTATTGTTTTTAACCCTTTTCTGCGTGTTTTGCTCAACACTCAATGTGTAGATAGAATACGAGTGCCTTCCAGGTTCTTAGCTCCTGTCAAGTCAACCTGAATATTGCAAGAATTTGAGATGTATAGACAAGAGCTATGGCTTGCTAAGAGTCAAGTATCTGAGGCAGCACTCTTTTTGTCTTGTCTGTGATAGCTACGCAGTAGCCGGACAATGAACTTTGGAGGGAGGTCACTTTTGTATAGGCACCCTTCTCTAAAATTCGGTTGGAAGGATATATGGTATCATCGCAGAGCCTTTTTTCTCAGTTTGAATTATCACCAATTTTGTGTATGTTGCTCATGCAAGAAGCTAATAAATCTACATACATTGCTGTTTACTGTCTATCACTTTGTAGAATTGATCGGATACCTGAGCTTTACACATCTCTAGCACTCGCTACGCAACCTTACTCTGAATGTCTACAGTATGTGCATTGAATCTCATTAAATTAACTGAAAAGTGAGTGAATGAGCTACCGGAAATTAGACCAGGCTACTGCAAAAGTTCTGCCCAAGTTTTGTTGCATCTGTTCAAAGCAGCTGCTCTAGAAGATATTTGTTCAATGCGGACATGTATTATCAAAAAACATTTTCCATGCTTTTCTAATAAACACTGAATTTCAAAAAATCTCCAGTCTCACAAGATTGCAGGCTTAAGAGAGTATGTAGCCGAAATGTTTTTTTTTACTAAAGAACAACCCTTGTAAAAATACTTCACAGTGTTACCGCCAAGTTAGTTAGGTTCTTCTAGCTGTCACCGAATAAGGGTGTGATGAGCTAACATATGCATTGATGTACTGTTATTCAAATATCATCTTGTTTTGTAGAATTTGTTTTCGAAAATTGAACGCTCTGTAGATATTCTACGGGCAATGATGACATACAGTACTGCTCACATTTTTTGAAAAAAAGACGCGAATGTCGCATCATGTATAGTCTGCCCCAATCGGGATCAGGCCGAACTATCGGCTGAATTTGCGCGCTCGCAGCGCCAGGGGTTTGCGCTGCATACGCGCGTTGTCGCAGAGAGCGAAGAGATTGAGAAGAGAGCAGACTAGCTAGCCGCAGAAGTGGCGCGAAACCCTAGCGATGCGGACTCCCGCCATGCCAATTTTGGCCTGGTTAGGATCGGGGCAGACTGTATGAACATCACCGTCGCGTGGCCATATCGCTTCAGAGTGGACGAATTGCATCTAAAGCCACCAATTGACCACTCATCTCGCCGCGGGCATCTTCTGATGTATAGAAGTGTCCAATTGGACACAGTAAGGTCAGATTCCACGAATCGTTTCAGATTTTTGCTTACGGTAGTTACACAGTGTGGTTGTGTTTGCTCAGTGTACTCAGCAAAGATCTGAAACGAATCGTGGAATTGACTTCCTACTGTGTCCAAGTGGACACTTCTATATATCAGAAGATGCGCCGCGCCGAGCTGAGCCGAATGATGGCTCTAGATGCAGAATTCGTCCACTCTGAAGCGAGATATGGCCACGCCACGTGTTCAAACATGATGCGACATTCGCTTCTTTTTGAAAAATGTGAGCGGTATTGTAGTACCAGCTTGCTTACCCAGCTCCGCTCGGTCCTGTCAAAACACTGTAATAAAGGTCCCATCCCTATCCCTGTATAGTTTTTCCCTGTGCCCACTTCTACACTTTGTTTTCCGCTTTCCTGTATTGTTTTCGAAGCATGCCCACTTACCCACCTTGTGCGAACTCCCAGCCCTTCAGCTCACATTCAAAAAATCGATAAAATCGATAAAAGTAATGGTAATACAAAAAACTAATATTGTATTCGGAATCGACATGCCCACTTATATACACTCCTGTGCCAACTCCCAGCCCTGTAACTCAAACTTTGCAAAAACTCGATAAAATCGACAAAAGTAATCGATTCTGAAAACTATTATTGTATCCGGAATCGCCATGCCCACTTACCCCCTGTGCCAACTCCCAGCCCTGTATCTCAAGCTTTGCAAAAAATCGATAAAATTTATTTTCGCAATCGATAATTCTGGAAACTAATATTGTATTCGAGTTCGCTATGCCCACTTATCTCCCTGTGCCAACTACCAGCCGCGTAGGTGGACTCTGCAAAAAAATCGATAAAATCGATAAAATCGATAAAATCGATATCGATCGATAACGGAAAGTAGTCTATGACACGCTCCTTGCCCCGAAGTGTATGTGTGCCAAGTTTGGTCCAGATCGGATCAGAAATAAAAATTTCTATTCCGCACATAGGTACGTACAGACATACATATAGACAGACAGACAGACACACATTCAGCTTTATATATAAGACTAGTGACCCTACGGGTCGCTAGTAGGTGTGTGGGGGCAGATACATTAATATCTGCCATCATTTAACTAAAAATCCCAAGAAAGAGAATTTCATCTTTCCAGCGACCTTTCGCGTGTTGTGAGTCGTAGAAACAAAACGCTATGCTCTTAGGAAAAGAAGTTACTACCAGTGACTATCCGCAAAGCATCTTTGCTGTCCCTCTTGCAGATACCTTCGCCCACATACCACAGCTCTTGAACAAGGAAGCTGCCTCCAAGCACCTGTTTAGATCAGCTGATTCATCCCAAAACTCAAATTGGTTTTCAGGAAAGTGCCATGTTAAAGGAAGCGTCAGGTTATGTCTTTCAGCAGTCGAAAACTCAGATATGTAGATAAAAACGAAGCAGTATTTTCTCCGATGATGTCTTGCCAGTGAACGGGCTCATTTCTTAGAACAGACTAAAGCTGGCCAACGCCTTCTTTTGAAGGACAATTTTACCGAAACCGTCCTGTCGCATGAAACCCTAGGTCTTTCCTTTCTTCGAAACCAAGCTCCTTATGTTTCCGCTTTTAGGGGCAGAAGTAAGGTTGAGAAGAAAGGGCCGTAATTTTTCCAGCAAGTCTTTCTATAATCAAACATTGACACCCAGAAAGTTCTGGCGAAAATATCTTGCGGCCTTAGCCCTGAGTCTTTTCTTCCCTCGAGACCAAGCTCCCTGTTTTTTTTTCTTCTAGGAACAAAAGTGTGGTTTTTGCAAAGTTTAACCAAAATTTTCAGCGAAGAAAATTTCCTGTCGCAAGAAGCATAGGTGCGATAAGGTGAGAATGACCTCTCCAGGGTGAAGGGGGTCACGGAGGTCGCAGCCCCTCCAGGGTGAAGGGGGTCAGAGGGGGTAGGGGGGGGGGGGGGTTGGGGGGGGGGGGTGAGTGCGTGTGTGAATGTGGGTGTGCAATTACACACAACGCGCCGCCAGGAACGGCATCGTTCCTTTCACAACCTCATTTTATGAGGACCGATTTTATAAACGGTCTGAAAAAGTGAAAGTGGTCAAAATTATTGGATGGTACACAAGTGCAAAACTGAGGTTTTTGCAGGCGTAATGTTCGAGAAGGAAAGGTTATACAACGCTTGTCACTTGCTTCATACGAATATGGGATGAAGGACCGGACCGACCGATGACTATATTCTTGTCTTAATGTTGCCGTTTCATGCTTTGTAATTTAATGAAAATATTGAAAGATGACGACTATCAACTATTGTGAGGCCATCAGAAGTTGTAATAGAAAGTGGTTCTGAGAAGTGTGATGATAGGAAGTATCAAAAATTATGAATGATGAAGCACGTAGAAAGAAGTAAAATATTGTCTGCCCAGGAAACTCTGAAAGATACAGTAAAATTATTGCATGTATAAATGGCCATTCTTGGTAAATGTGCACGTAAATGGTAAGAAGGAAACACACGGGAGCAGGATTGGAACCTTCTCGTTATCTTCTAAAGAAGGCATTGGATGACAATCGAAGAAACAAGGACAGGAAAATCGGAACGCCTGACTGCCACGAAAAATTTATTCCGCTGAAGACTACTGGACACTGCGTAATACTGAACTTGTTAAATTCGGCAATTGGAAAAATTAGGGTTGTTGAAACAAAGTGAGGTTGTAACTACTTCTTGTTTAAATTTAGATTTAGCATAGGAGATATTTGTACGAAAATTGTTTGTGTATCGGAAAGGAGGGAGAAGATTTATAGGCAAAATTTGAAAAAATTCAATTAAAAAATTCATAACGTTTGTAGATGAACAGCTAGTACAAGGAAATGCTCACCATTGAAACCGTTTCTTCCTCTGCTTTCAGAAAATATCTAGTTTGTCTGGGATCCGTTGAAAAAAGTGCGTGCTGAAGGGGGTGCCTAGTGATTTCTGGAGATTTTCGAGTTTTCAACATAAAAAAATTCATAACTTCTGTAGATGAACAGCTAGTACAAGGAGATGCTCACCATTAGAACCGTCTCATTCTCCGCTTTCAGAAAATATATAGTTTGTAAGGGATCCCTTGCAAAAAGTGCCTGGTGAAGGGGGGGTGAGAATTTTATAACGGGAGTTCTCAGGTAGACGTCTTTTTACAATGGTGAAAAGGCCTCTGCCTGAGAACTCCCGTTATAAAATTCTCACCCCCCCTTCAGCACGCACTTTTTTCAACGGATCCCAGACAAACTAGATATTTTCTGAAAGCAGAGGAAGAAACGGTTTCAATGGTGAGCATTTCCTTGTACTAGCTGTTCATCTACAAACGTTATGAATTTTTTAATTGAATTTTTTCAAATTTTGCCTATAAATCTTCTCCCTCCTCTCCGATACACAAACAATTTTCGTACAAATATCTCCTATGCTAAATCTAAATTTAAACAAGAAGTAGTTACAACCTCACTTTGTTTCAACAACCCTAATTTTTCCAATTGCCGAATTTAACAAGTTCAGTATTACGCAGTGTCCAGTAGTCTTCAGCGGAATAAATTTTTCGTGGCAGTCAGGCGTTCCGATTTTCCTGTCCTTGTTTCTTCGATTGTCATCCAATGCCTTCTTTAGAAGATAACGAGAAGGTTCCAATCCTGCTCCCGTGTGTTTCCTTCTTACCATTTACGTGCACATTTACCAAGAATGGCCATTTATACATGCAATAATTTTACTGTATCTTTCAGAGTTTCCTGGGCAGACAATATTTTACTTCTTTCTACGTGCTTCATCATTCATAATTTTTGATACTTCCTATCATCACACTTCTCAGAACCACTTTCTATTACAACTTCTGATGGCCTCACAATAGTTGATAGTCGTCATCTTTCAATATTTTCATTAAATTACAAAGCATGAAACGGCAACATTAAGACAAGAATATAGTCATCGGTCGGTCCGGTCCTTCATCCCATATTCGTATGAAGCAAGTGACAAGCGTTGTATAACCTTTCCTTCTCGAACATTACGCCTGCAAAAACCTCAGTTTTGCACTTGTGTACCATCCATTTGACCACTTTCACTTTTTCAGACCGTTTA